CCTCTTTGTTACGTTCCCCTTGATCCTGCCCTACCAGGTCTCCCACACCCACCTCCCCACCAATTTGGATCGCTTGTTGTTCCCTTGTCCCTGGGTTTGTGTCACTGCATGACAGAACTCTGGTCAGTAAACTGTTAACATGATCTGCTGCGTTAGGTCAAGAGTGCTTTCTCTTTGGAAAGTGAAGGCAAGCGAATTCATACTCGTGTTTCTTATGAAGAGAGGGTGAAACACATCCAAGCTTTTCAGTAAGAATTCAAGCACCTTTAAAATAAGATCTAACGCTATTGCTTTTCCTAATTGAGAAAACCCCAATTTTTTAGATAGCACCAGAAATTAGTAAAAATATAACATTTATTGAGCATCTCACTATGTGTTTATTCCTCTCATCAATGTAAATATAGTTCGGTTACTCAGCCCATTTTCTAATGAAATTGAGGCCTGAGAACATTAAACAACTGGCAGTTCTTTGTACTGCATGAAAAACATTAGTTTTGAGTGGCTCTTTCCGATGTTTCTGGTCAATTTGGAGAAATTTGAAATTGTAGTGATTTTTCATACCTCCGCACAGGGTATTTCCTTTATACCTGTCTTGAGTAAAGTCTAGCGTTTAGCATTTTTATAAATAGCTTTCTTGATATATGCTCGTAATGACCAGACAACCATTTAAAAATAGAATAAAAAACTTCTGGCCTGAAAGTATCCCATCATAATTGGTTATTTCCCTCACTTTAAGGAAGTGAAGTTAACTATAACAAAACAGTTTTGTATAGCTGTAAACACATTTAACTTATAGGCAGTTAAACATAATAATATAGCTGAATGTCCCTCGCGTTTGAGACTAGTGAAATACGGACAGCTCTCATTCATAAGCCAACTGCTGGATGCGTAGGGGCAGCTGACACATTCAGAGACTGGCCAGCTCACCGTGTATTGAACCAGCTGCTCCACACATTGTCAGCTCTTTGGTCTTGATCGTGACTTTGCCATTTTGCAACGCAAGTCCCTTCCTGACATGTTTTGTGTGTCTTGGAGCGGGTTTTTAATGATGTTAAATATGACAAATGACTATTCAGATTTATAATCTGATCAAACTAGGTTCTGTAAAACATTTTTGATCTAACAATTCATATGATTTTTTGACTGCTTGACCTTTAGCTTATCAACATTATTTGTCCCTTCTAATAGTGTAATCACTTAAGCAAGTTTATGTATCTGCCAATGTTTCTCAAACACAAAGTGACAGCATAGTATGCTTGACTGATTTTAAGGTATACTTACTGTAATTTGTCATTAATACTTTGCTAGTCACTTTTAAAAGGCCCTGTAATTTTAATTATATATACTATATACTAGTAGCATGTGATATACTAGTATATAGTGTATACTGTGTAGTACTAGTATATACATTAGAACTCCTTTTAACACTCTGCTGCTTTTCTCCATGCGAGAGAAGTGACGCTAAAACTCTTGTCAGGAATTTGTGTAATTCTAACCTTTTGGAGCATACTTAATATTATCAGTTATGTGTACAAAAACAGTTGAAATGTCATCATTTTCACTCTCTTCCCCTCCTTGCCACTTTCTTACAGGAGCTTTGTCAGTTAATCAATCTCTGGGCGGAAAGATTCTGTTCTCTGGAGGACAAGTGTGACAACATCCAGAAACCACTCAGCCGCGTCCAAGAAAACACAAAACAGTAAGCTGATTTTATCTCTTCTTTAACTTTTATGTAAGTCTGCATTTATTTCAGACTAAAGCGTTTCAAATGGTAAATATGATTTCTGTATACTTTCACCCAAATACTTTGTTTGACATTCTTGCTCTCCTGTAGATGAGGGTAAGTAAAGAAATACTGCACTAGGTTTCAAAGTTCACACTTGCATGGGCTTATTCCAAAGAAAGCGTGTCTGAGCATGTTCCTGTGAGCAGTGGATAGCTGCAGACAAGTTCTCTCAGGAACACCACTGTCTTCCTCCCGCTCGGGCTCCTTGAAAAGGGTCTTAATCAAACAGTAGCTTCAGAAGGGAGCTGCCTGGCCAGTTAGATTCACGCCTGAGGGGTCAGCTCAGAAAGTTATGGTTATTAACATTGGAGGGATTTTCTCGAAGGACACATGGACAATCATAGGAGCTTATTAGGAAGAAGTTTTAAGAAAACTGACAGCCGCACTGGTGGGAAAGGGCCGGGAAGTTGTGCCAAGTGACTATCTCCCCAGCATCGTGACAGCAGCGTGCCCGCTTTTCTAGCATCGGGAAGGCTGTCCTATTTGTATTGGCCACCTTACAACCCTGCTCGTGCCCCTCCGCCTCCTTTGTATTCCCTACACTGAAAAAATGTTGAAAAGGAACATGATTTGAGTCCTTGGAGGATGCCAAAATTGCTGTTTTACCTGGCATAAATCTAAGAGCACAGAATTTTCTAGAGAAGGTTTGGAGAGATGGAAACACTGCCATCAGTAGGCATGGATGGGGAGTATATGTTGAGAAATCGCTTCAGATTTGATATTTTTGTTTACTAAATGTTTCTGTGGTTTTGTAGCAACAGTTTCTTACTTACTCTCATGTATATTTTTTTCAGAACTAGCCAGAGAGTAGTTTACAGACATGATGTTCCCTTTCTCCTAAATATCTTAGTGTGTGTGTACACTAAACCAAGGTTATAGTCATACATAACCTGACCACATACTGCACTTAATTGCCACGTCTCTCTGAATCTGGAACAGTTGTCTTTCACAACCTTGCCTTTTATCAAGACTGTTGGGCATTTATTTAGTAGCATGTCTCTCAGTTTGGAACTGCCCCTCGTGATTTGTTGTGGTGAACAAGAATTCCACAAAAGTGATCATGTATTCTTAGTGGATCATATCAAGTGGCAGATGTCCACTTTGTTACATTATTGATGATGATTTATTTAACTTTGACTATTTGGTAAAGATTGTCTGCCAGATTTCTCAACTGTAAAATTAGTCTTTTCCCTGTTATAATTAATCAAGAACTTTGGGGAAGATGTTTTGAAATCATACTGTATGCTTAGTATTCAATGATAAGTTCGTGTTTGAAACAATTATTTGGATATATTGCTTGATAAATTGGTCCATTTCGTTTAAGTTATTGAATTTATGTGCATGAAGTTATTGGCAATATTCTCTTATTACCTTTTCGGTAAGGAGCTCTGGTGGCACAGCGGGTCATGCACTGAGCTGCTAACCACAAGTCCAATGGTTGAAACCTACCAGTCACCCCAAGGGGGAAAGATGAGGCTGCCTGTCCCCGATTCCTTACAGGCAGTCTCCGATTCCTTATAGGCAGTTAGTTATACTCTGTCCTTTAGGGTCATGGTGAGTAGGAGTCAACTTGATGGTAGTTTTATTTGAGTGACCCTTTTAGTGGTTGCAATACCTGCTGTGTTCTTCCTGACAATTGGGAATTCGTGAAGTCTCTTTTTATCCTTATCAGCCTTGCTGAAGGTTTACAAATTTTTCTCGACCTTTTCAAAGTCTCACCATTGATTTTTCTGTATTTTTTCTTTCTTTCTATTTTCATTGATTTCTTTCTGCTTGTTTTGAGTTAATTTTGCCTTTCCTATTTTCTGAAGGTAGGAGCCCATCAATTTCAGGCCTTTGCCTCTTTTGTGATGAGAATATTTAATGTTATGAATTTCCTGTCTCAGTACTACATTAGCTGCATCCAACAATTTTGATATGTTCATTTTAATTTTCAATCATTTCACTTTTTAAAAATTCAATTTCTCATGAAACTTCTCCCTCATGGATTACTCTGAAATATGTTGTTTAATTTACAATTGTCTGTGAATTTTCCTTGATTCGTTATCAATTTCTAGTTTGAGTCTATTATGACCAGAGATTATACTTTGTGCCAGCTCAATTCTGAGTTTCATTTTTTAATGACTCTGAACATATAGTGTATTCTGGGGACTGTTCCTTGGATGCTAGCGGAGATTGTGTATTCTTTGGTTGATAGGTGGAATATTTCTATATGAGGGGCTTCATTCTCCTTCCCACAGTCCCACATGCTCTTTCCCACAGTGGTTCATGTCCACCTAAGCATCCAGCTGTACATTACTGTTACTGCAAGGTTGTATAAGTAATAATATTTACAGCTCTTGCTTTTATTTCTTATACTTTTATCTTCTTTTGCCTTCATCATTTTTTGCTGACTTCCTTCTTATTACATATTGGGTTCTCTCTTACCCAAGTTAATATGTGTCTATCTTCTAGTTAGTGGTTTATCCTTTCCTCTCCCACCCCTGGTAACCATCAAGGAATGCTTCTTTCGATATGAAAACAGTATTCTTATGCTCTTATAATAGTTGTCCTTTTGTGATTGATTGACTTATTCCACTCAGTACAATGTCCTGCACATTTAACTAATGACTGCCTCTCGATCCATGTACAAGTTCTTCATGCGCACAACTAACTGTCCTGGAATTCTCACTCATTGTATTATTATCCATAATTTATTGTACCGTTATGTTTAAATTTCTTGTTTCTAGATAAAGTAGTCATATAATAACAAAATAAAAGCCTGTAGTCATCATCATTTGGAATTATGTGCTACTCCTTTTAAGGACTATTGCTCTAGTCCCTGTTGTTTTTAGGTGCCAGGGTTGTTCCAACATAGGAGTGACCCCATGCCCAACAGAGTGCCAGGCTGCCTGAGTCAGCGTCTTAGATTGAGTGCTTCAGTGAGCCTGTTGGTGCAGCCCTGGTGTATAGTGAGTTCCACAGTGGCTGCTGACCGGCATTTCTGTTGGGTCTGTAGGGTTGCTGTGAGTTGGAACTGGCTCGATGACAGTGAGCTTTTTGTTTGTTTGTTTTCGTTGTTCCTTCTGTTCATTACAGAATGTTCCATTCTGTGCTCCTTCCAAAGCCGTGGAAGGGTACTAGAAGACAGTTGGAGTGATAGGAAAACTATGATATATGTTCCCAGCTTTTCAAGTACTTTCACTGTCTACCATGACTGACATTTTCTGTCTACACTTACAGTTCCCAAAGTGTGATCCAGGGGCACTGAATTACGTAGGATTTGGGCCCAGGAATCTCGAGGATTTATTTTTTTTAATCATTTTATTGGGGGCTTGTATAAAATTCTTATCACAATCCATCCATCCATCCATCCATCCATCCATCCATCCATCCATCCATCCATCCATCGTGTCAAGCACATTTGTACATTTGTTGCCATCATCATTCTCAGAACATTTGCTTTCTACTTGCGCCCTTGGTATCAGCTCCTCGTTTTCCCCTCTCCCTCCCCGTTCCTCCTCCCTCATGAACTTTTATTTTTTTGAACCCTTGATAACTTTTAAATTATTATTATTTTGTCATCTCTTACACTGCCCAACATCTCCCTTCACCCACTATGTGCATGGATGTTTAAGACTCAGTGCCGGAACAACATATCAGCCTGTGTGATCACAAGGTGTCGAACGGATCACTGAAGACAAATGGGTGCATAAGCAAATGTGGCTAAGAAAGCTGATGGTGCCCAGCTATCAAAAAGTATAGCATCTGGGGTCTTAAAGGCTTGAAGGTAGTCAAGCGGCCATCAAGCTCAGAAACAACAAAGCCCACATGGAAGAAGCACACCAGCCTATGCAACCACGAGGTGTCGAAGGGATCAGGTATAAGGCATCATCAGAACAAAAAAATCTTACCATAGTGAATGATGGGGGGAGTGCAGAGTGGAGATCCAAAGCCCATTAGTAGGCCACTGGAGATCCCCTTGCAGAGGGGTCTCGGTGAGGAGATGAGCCAGTCAGGGTGTGATGTAACAACGATGAGAAATACAACTTTCCTCTAATTCCTAAACGTTTCCTCCCTGCTCCCACTACCATGACTTAACCTTGCAAGTCTGGCTGGACCAGAGGATGTACACTGGTACAGATAGGAACTGAAAATACAGGGAATCCAGGGCGGATGAGCCCTACAGGACCAGTGGTGTGAGTGGCGAAACAGGGAGGGTAAAGGGAGAGTGGGTAGGAAAGAGGGAACCGATTACAAGGAACTATATGTGACCTCCTCCTCCCTGGGGGACAGACAACCGAAAAGTGGGTGAAGGGAGACGTCGGGCAGGGCAAGATATGACAAAATACCAATTTATAAACTATCAAGGGCTCATGAGGGAGGGGGGAGCGGGGAGGGAGGGGAAAAATGAGGACCTAATGTCGGGGTTTAAGTGGAGAGAAAATGTTTTGAGAATGATGTACAAATGCGCTTTACACAATTGATGTGTGTATGGATTGCGATAACAGTTGTATGAGCCCCTAATAAAATGTTTAAAAAAACAAAAAAGAGAAAAGAAAAAAAAAGACAGTGCCTTTGGCATTTATTGTCATGACAACTTATTAATAAGTTTTCTCTTCCCTGTTGGTTGTGAGTATCTGAAGAGGAGAGATTTATATTATATTGATGATGTCTAAGGTTTTCATTTTACTGTATTTATCTTGAATGTTTCCCTCTTAAGATGTTGGTGAACATTGGCTTACTGTACCTTTGCTTACTCGTTTGTTTGGTTCATGTGATATACCATCTAGTGGCAACATACGGTAACTTCAAGCACTTTATTTCCTTTTTTAACTCTGATCTGGTAAGACAACTGTGCATGTTATTCTAGGGAAACTTATTGAGAAAAGGAAATCAACACATTTTAATGTATACTAGCCTTATATCAAGTG